ACTTACTGACTTACTGACTTACTTACTGACTTACTTACTTACTTACTGACTTACTTACTTACTTACTTACTGACTTACTTACTGACTTACTTACTTACTGACTTATTTACTTACTTACTGACTTACTTACTTACTGACTTACTTACTGACTTACTTTCTGACTTACTTACTGACTTACTTACTTACTGACTTACTTACTGACTTACTTACTGACTTACTTACTTACTTACTGACTTACTTACTTACTTACTGACTTACTTACTGACTTACTGACTTACTTACTGACTTACTGACTTACTTACTGACTTACTTACTTACTGACTTACTTACTGACTTACTTACTGACTTACTGACTTACTTACTGACTTACTGACTTACGTACTGACTTACTTACTGACTTACTGACTTACTTACTGACTTACTGACTTACTGACTTACGTACTGACTTACTTACTGACTTACTGGCTTACTTACTTACATAAAAAAATATATATTGTTGCACAGACATCACTATGTTATGCTGAAAAGCATTCTGGGTAAGTGATGATGCTTACCGGTGCTCCGGTCCAAGATCTATCCAGTTTGATCATTAAATTTGAACAATATGTGACGTTCAGCCCTTTTAACCTAAACCTGAGCTCGTTGACAGAGAGAAGAATGTAGAAATGATTCAGCCTGATGCTGAAAATGTAGATAGTGGAAAACAGAGCTGCTGCATGGAAGGAGCACCTCAGCTTTAGCCTTTTGTTTTCATGTTAGCTCCCAAGCTAAAGTATATGTGATGATATATGGCGTTAGCTCCTGAGCTAACGTGTATAAATGTTGTATAACGTTAGCTCACGAGCTAATTTATATATGATATGGTTTTAGCTCCTGAGTTCACATTAACTCCCAAGCTAAAGTTTATATTACTAATGCGTGGAGTTAGCTCCAGAGCTAACTTACTAAACATCACTGATTGTTTCAACATATATATTGTCTATAAAATAGAAACTAATACAAAATATACCTTTATTGTCACACATTTTAGCTTTTTAGCCTCAACTCTTTGTGATAATGGCCCTGTCCCAATGCTCCCACTCCCACCCTCATTCTCTTGTGCACTTCAAACGTGTGTTCACGTTGAAGGGTTTGAGTGCGTAGTGTCCCACATTCTCCACATCCGCCTTTCGCCCCGCCCATTTTGGGTACTATTTCTGCCCTTCTGCAAGTCTGCATTTTTACGGACTTGAGTGAACTTTATTACCCACAATTCTTTGCTGCCAAAACAGTGAGCGTTTTTAAAAAAAAATTAAATAAACCTTTATTGAACACTGGAACATAGTACAAAAAATAACAATGCTGCCAGGGGGAATGAAGAATTATAAATGATAAACGAGGGAAAAATATGTATAAATGTATGTAATAATAATAATATAATAATAATAATAATAAGCATTAAATAAAATGATTACATCACAAAAAAGAACCAATCACGACAAAGTTAAATCAGGAATTTTAAAAAGTATTTTTTTTTTTGCCTTCTGATCAGTAGAGAAGTGAATAGATTGCATATATTTTGTAAACTCAATCATGAAGGAGATAAAATTTGTTTCTTTCTTTAAACATTTGCTTTATATGAAATTTGGCCTAACAGTGACCAGTAGCTTCCAGTGTTTGATGATGTAATCCATACTGTCCCAACTCTCAATTGTTTTGCACGCTTGTAACCTGCACACTCCAACACTACTGTGCACTTCTACTGAATCCACACTTCACAGAGGGGCGTAGGGTGGCACTGAGCATTGGGACTAGGCCTTATATCATCCCCAGAAGGCATTGCATGAATAACAAAATGGCGACATGCTTAGGTAAAAAATCCTAATTTAACATATAAAATGTTTTAAAGTAAATGGATGTTTTCACGTGTCAAACAACATTTACTAGAGTAGAAAAATAACAAATTAAAGCCAACGTAGGGACATCCCTTTTATAACAATTAAAATTGAGTTTGAGTTAAATCATTTTTACTGCTTAAATTTGAAATCAAAACCAATTAAAAAGGTACAAATTACAATAAAACTGTCAATTTATTTCAGTTTGGACATTTTTCATAAAGTAACGTTTCTACATTACAACTAAATTAACATTTAAAGGTTGTCTTCCTTCATGTTTGTGTACCATCTCTCAGACGTGTGTTGTTTTTCTGTCCACAGCTGTACATCCATGCCAGAATGAAGGGGAAGTGGACTAGACTGGTCCGACCCACCATCCAGTTCTTCCTGGTGTCGTTCTCTCTTTACGTCGGATACACGCGTGTCTCGGACTTTAAGCACCACTGGAGCGACGTCCTGGTGGGCCTGCTGCAGGGGGCACTCATCGCCGTGCTCACGGTGAGTCTCTCAGCTCTCAGCTCGAACAGAAAGCTCCTCCCAGCCTCAGCCGTTCAACGTGAAAAGCCCCTCGCCTCTTCCTCTTTGCTCTCAGGTTCGATACGTGTCGGATTTCTTCAAGCAGCGGCCCTCGCCCTGCACGCCGGCAGAACAGACCGAGGAGGAGCAGCTGGAGCGCAAACCCAGTCTGCAGCCGTCCGACTCGCAGCAAGGAAACCATTACAGGTGTTCCACCGCACCTGTATGAGTTCCCAGCAGCTCCGTTACCTAAAGGACTGACGAAAGTGTTCTCTCTATCGCTACAACTTCACTGATTCCTGAAACCTGTTGGGACAGATACTCCACGGTGTTTTTTTTTTTTTTTATAGTCTGGGTGTGTTGCAAAAAAGTGTCCCAGATTGACTGTGTGTGTGATTTTTGTGATATAAATGTGTTTTTATGTTCCCAGTGATTCCATTTCCAGCTTTCAGATTTCTGTGGCTGCTTCAAAATTTCATTCAAAGTGGCGAAGCGGCCTGCAGACATGGTTTCCTCGTCGCTCCAGTCAGAGCTGAATGTACCGTACCGTCTCTGACACTTCTTATCTAATTCATTATTAGAAACACAACACTTGTACTTAATGACTTTAACTCACCTTTTCTAATGAGATTATTGTGTGAATTACTGACATGTTTATCTTTTTATAGCCACTGTAAAAAAAATTGTAGCTTTTTAAAAAAAATGATTAACCACGTTTTTCTAACTTTTGTTTGTTTTTACTGGAAAACGAAGGCGGACTGCTGGCACATTTATTTTCTGTTTTATATCAAATCTTGCACAAAGTAAATACCTTCTCAAAGCTCTTCCCTCCCCTTTCATTACTGCATAACGTGTTGTGAAACTACACGCTGACGTCGCTTCTTTCAGTCAGTTTGTGTGAAGTTTTTTTTAATACATGTGGAGTATTTGTGTGCGCTTCCTTCAGCAGCAGGAAGATGATAAAAACATTCATGGTGACTGACAGTCATTCTTTTTTTTTCCTTTGAGCTTTCTATCTAAACCAGGCCTGACACACTATAACACAGGGCTTGTGTGTGTGTGCTGCTGAGGTAGTGAGGCAGCGACAGGAACTGGCCTACTGAGCCACTTCAGATGAGAACAGAGCGCTGTGAAGGATTGTTGGATCCTCCGCTTCTCGAGTCGTCATGAAAGCCCTGAGTCGACCTCGGCCTGCAGAGGGTGGGTTCACGTTTATTAAATATTTCCACTTTATCCATCAGGTCACCAGGCTGACAGTTTCCTACTGCAAATTCAAAGGCCTGGCATTCCTTAAAGGAATGTGTTGATTTTAATCCCTTTCAATGAATCTGTTTTATGTGCATTAATATCAGGCAGCTTGAGTGGATCAAAACTATAAATCAGAGGTCTCCAAGTGGTGGGCTGTGGTCAGAATCAGGACCTAAATAAAAACCCGTTTGGGCCCAGATCAGTTAAAATGATATTTGTGTGCTTGTGTGAGCTTTTCTAGCATTTAAAGCCGCAGAGTAATTAATGGTTGGAGAGGTAAAAGTCTGAGATAATACTTGAGTGAAGAAGATAAAACTTTCAAATCCCCGTATGAACGTCTACAACTGATTACATTTTTAGAGTTAACCCAATTCAACATGGCCGCCACACCTAAGCAACCATAAAAAATGGCTCAGTCTAAAATTTGGTGTGGTAGTAGCTGAGAGTCATCGCAAACTTATCCTCACACTGATCACATTAGAACCATTAAACTATGGGAGTTAATGTTTTTAGCTGAATGTCTCGAACCAGCTGACAGATTTTGATGAAGTTCTAAACGTAATCATTTGGTGAACAGAGTCGGCTGATGAATGAATGGTCTGATAAAACACAACACACTTCGAGTTAAGCTGAGTTGTGTTTAACGCTAAGAGTTGATCATTTACAAGATTGGACACAAGTGTCACAAGTTTGTCTAAAACAATGAAAGCATTAGTTTGTTCTCTACTTTTCAAATTGATAACATTTAGCATTTAAACATAAAACAGCTTTTGAAATTGGAATGTCAAAATAGGTTTTGCTTTTAAAAGTTTCCTCTTTTTTTCCGAAACATGTAGCTTAAAGCCTGTGTAGTTACATATTTATAACCAGTTTGTGTATTTAAATAGTATATCTGAGTGTTGTGCTGCTATAAGCATCTTCTTAACAGTAAGTCTTTCAGTTGTTTCCCTTCAAAAAAAAAAAAAAAAAAAAACAGGAAAAGTGGAATTTTGTACCAAATCTTTTTTGTGCTTTTATAAACAGGGTTGGTTGCTGCTAAAACTATGGGATAAATCTTGTGCCAGCAGGAATTGAATTTGAATTGCTCAGAGTGAATCTGAATGTGCATAATTAGAAACTGAATGCATTGGTTTGAAAATGAATTTTACTGAATTTAATGGTTTGAAAATGAATTTAAACATTTGTATCTGAATTAATTTGCTTTGAAACTGTATTTTGGTCTAATAAAAATTCAGTTTGACTACTTTCACTTTCAGTTCTAAAATTCAGATTTTTGTGTCACATCCTGGTCCTTGAGAAAGCCAGGCAGAGTAATCAAACACCGATCCACAGATTTATGTTTCACTTTGGTGAAGTTTCCCTTCTGTATGTAACAGAGTTGATGCAGTCCACTGTTAGTGACAAAAACAGTCATTTTATTGCAGTGATTAATTGTACCTTTATGTAGAAAATGTTTGATTTACTTCACATGGATCACGTATTGCTCAGATGCTGCTGCTGACAGATCCATGATGTGATGTAAATGTAACATTTTCTGTAGGCAAAATCAATCACTGCAATAAAATAACTTTGTTTTTGTCATTTTCATGATGGATTGCACCAACTGTTACATACAGAAGGGAAACTTCACCAAAGTGAGACATAAATCTGTGGATCTGTGTTTGATTACTCTGGCTGACTTTCTCAAGGACCAGGATGTGTGACACAAATCTGAATTTTAGAACTGAAAGTAGTCAAATTGAATTTTTAATGAACCAAAATACAGTTTAAAAGCAAATTAATCCAGATACAAAATGTTTAAATTAATTTTCAAACCATTAAATTCTGTTTCAATTTAGTAAAATTAATTTTCAAACCAATGCATTCAGATTCAATCTGAGCATTTCTAATTCAGTTCCTGCTGGCACAAGAGTATCCCATATGAAACTTGTCCTAAAAATAAAAAAATCCAAATTTTATCGAAGTGGGGTTATTTTAATATTGTGTCTTTTATATTAGTTTGTTTACGGCTCGTACAAAAACCATCACTTTTAATCACAACTTTTATTTGTAAGGCACCAGAGGAGCTTCCTTACTGCTAAAAGGTTGATTCATTCTCACGAGTAACACAGTTGCTTACATCATTTTTTTTGTCCAAGGTATTTTAAAATGTGTTCATAAACACATTTAAAACAGTTTAGCACAAATTAAAAAGTAAAAACATATACAAACCTAGAATGAATGTTACATTTTACAACCTAGGAAGAGAGTAGAAGAGAAAACAAACAAACATTGTGCCTTTAGGCTTGTAATGCTCGCACTCACGACACCAGTCTTTCATGATACGCACACATTTAAAAAGCAGCTTTGAAACATACAAAAATGCTTTTAAAAAATATGTATATTGATATATCCACATGTGTACAAATTTTCCCCTTCACAGCAAAAATAAAATAAAATAAAAAAAAAATGCAGGAACCTTTCACATGTCTGAGATTGGCCAAAGAGTTTAACGTCTGCGTTTGGAGTTCTCGCACATTAAGTCAAAATCAAACATTTCACCCACTAATCCCACTCTAGAAGGATAAAAATGCACCGAGACACATCTTAAGTGCTTCTCAAATTAAACACATGAAGGACAACTTTCTGACGTTGATCTCAGTCGCTCAGAGTTGAAAGAACTTACAGTACAGAAGGTTGACAGTGAAGAAGAAATACAGAGAGAGAGGAAAACAAAACAAAACAAAAAGACTGATTTGGACCCATTTTTAGATGCTTTCTGTACACAACCCTTCCTAACTTCATCCTCAGACAGAGAGCACTGCTGCCCAAATCAACCTGACATGCAAACAAACCCCATGTGCATCATGTTTTTGCAGGTAAAATACAACAAAAAACAAAAAAAAAAAAAAAAAAAAAAAAACCCACAATTATTTAAGCAACAAACATCCCACTTGCTGACTTTCAAAAATAAATTTAAAAAGTAAGTGCCAAAATAATTGCAATGTGCGCATTTTACACACAAATTTCTGTTCCAGGAATTGTTTGGCCATTTTCTTTTTTAAATTGAATTCTTTTGTGTGATGCACTGAGGGAGGAAACAATTAACATCAAACTGAGAAATCAAGCCGAAACTTCTGGTTCTATGATGTTTTCATACAGGCCCACAACCGTCCACCCCACACCCTGTCACATCTGTAGAGGCTCGCATTTGGAGCACAAAAGTCAATGTTTAAAACATGTCAGTATATTAAAGAACAAGCTGAAAGGGTTAAAGTTTACCAATAACGTGCTTTTTGTAAGTGCTGTTTCTGAGATCATCTCCACAAACCTCGAGTGACTGAAGGTAGTGAGCAGAGCAGAATGAAGCTTTTCTGAAGGTTGTTGCCTAAAAAGGCTACATTAGGAGCTTATCTACAAGGTCCAATTTGGCGCCATCATGTGGCCAAAAGTATAACGAGCAGCTTGAAACTACAAGCTGAATGAATCGCTTCATAGTGGCTGGAGTCGCCTGCTGTTTAATATCATTATTTGATGACAATAAAAAAATAAATAAAAAAACTTATAGGTAATTACCAGTTTTTGCTGGGAGATTATATTGTAATATACATGCTTAAAGATTTGCTTTATGTTTTAAGTTTTGTTTTCCCTTCTCAGGGGTGCGGGTGTCTATCAAATGGCTGACTACATGTCTCCTTACGTGACACTTGATGGTACGTTACATTTCGAGCAAATCTGCCACCAAAACACCACAAACCCAGCCAATGATTCATGTCCTATTAGGGTTGAATGAGATCAGGAAAACTTGCGATGTAAGTATGTAATGCCTTTCTGCTCTGGGTTTACAGCAAAAACACAGAAAAACATAAATAATCATTTCCGTTCCAGCATGATTTTTTTTTAACTATGAAGAGATCCATCCAATTGGCCAAATACATGAATACTTTTGATTGGTGAAATATTTCAAGCTTCTGTCTGAGTGACAAAACCCTTCAATGCAAACTTTTGATCCAGCCGTTTATTGCAGTTTATGCAGTTTTTTGCGATATGCACATTACACAGACTGTTATCACGATGATGATAAACTTTCTATATATTCTGCAGCCCTAGTCCTTATAAACTTTTAAATCAGTGACCAAAACAGTGATTTAGTTTTAAAGCTCTGTCTGAATGGATCAAGCTGCAACACTGTGCTGCTTTATTTTCCTACGTGTTCCAGAGCTTCAGCTTCAAACGGACCGTTCACTTCCTGAAGGCCTGAGCTGAGATCAGGATTAATTTTGGGTTGTTTACAGGTGGGCGAATCGCTGCAATTTGTGCACTATAGTTTGTTTTAATGTATGTTGTTGTTTTATTTTGTCAAAAAGACATGTTTGCTTGGGCGGCAATTTTCTGTTGTCTAAGTTTGAACACTGCTGCATTTTTTTCAGACAGTCACACTAATCTAAGACTGCGTAAACCTGAAGGCAGAAAAATAAGATTATGTTCAGGTTTTAGCTAAGATGAGACCATCACTATGACAAATGGGGCAAAAAGAGGAGGGTTGAAATATATATATTAAAAAAAGTTAATGTTTTGTTTTGCTGTCACACGCTCTCAGAACACTATTTCAGGCCTGATAGTATTTACACCCATAAAAGCTAATTAAAATAAATTCAAATGTGTTTTCAGAGCTTTAACAAGCTCATTAAAAGCTGTTTAAAGCAGCACCAGCTTTAAGCCCATTACAATGGAAACTGAGTATTTTACTGTGTACTGGAACAGATAAGGTAGAACTTCAAAACGTCTAATTTTTACATCAAACTAAACTTTATTTTGGCTCGAAAAGTAGCTCGTTTGTTTTAACCAAACGGCTTCGGACAACTTTTTTCATACTGGGACTGATGTGACAAAACGTATTTTCCTAATCACGAGGGGGAAAATGACTGAAGAAGTATCTTATTTACTGTGACTGGCACACAGCAGCCACTGAGACACAACCAGGTTGTAGAAAGAAACAAAGTGAATTCAGGAAAATAAACCTGCAGCAGACACGAGCACAGGAATCTGCTGTTATCCTTTCAAGCTCGACTCACACTCCAAATGGGATATTTATACTGGTTGACCAAACAATAATGGCTTACACACTAAAAAGAAAAAAAAAAAACATCTATTATAAATCTTAATGCTTGAACTGGGTCTATGACCACTAAATAACAGGAACGATAACTTCCAGTTTCAGTCTTTGAGGATCTTTTGCACATCCTAAAGATTCGGCTGTGTCCTCGCTCCGCACCAACACCAGCTTACAGCCAATCTTTCCTCTGAAACTCCACACCGTACACCCACCCTCATCCCCTCCACCTCAACTGTGCCGTGCGCTAGTCGGACTTGTCCCCGTCCTCTCCTCTGGGCGCTCGCTCCGCAGCGTCTCTGGCCTTGTCCTCCTTGGCGGCCTGCGGCTGACCGTGGGAGTAGTTGGCCAGGATGGAGGAGAGGGAGAGCAGGCCAGAGCCGGAGGAGACGGCAGGCAGGGAGGGCGGGGTGAGGCCCAGGGGCAGCGGGGTCACTGGCAGGGTCAGGCCCTGCAGCTGGGACAGGTGCTGCACCTGAAGCTGTTGCTGCAAAACAAGCGGGCAGGAAACAAGAGGACTTTAGACAAAAAAATATGCAGCGAACTGAGAAATGTACAGCAGCTAAACACAACTAAAGTGGTTAATTACAACACTAGTTCTAACGAAGTTGCAATGTTGTGTAAAACAAAAACAGAATACGATTTGCAAATCATTTTCAACCTATATTCAATTGAACACACAACAAAGACAAGATATTTAATATTCAAATGGATAAACTTGACTGTTTTCTTGCAAATAATCTCTTATTTTAAGTTGATGCCTGTAGCATCAACTTAAAATAAGACTTTTTGTTCCAAAAAAGCTGGGAAAGTTGAGGAATGCTCAAAAAACACCTGTTCTGAATATTTCACAGGTGAACAGGTTAATTGGAAACAGGTGAGGGGCATGATTGTGTATAAAGGAAGCATCCCTGAAAGGCTCAGTTTACAGACAAAGATGTGGCGATGTTCATCGTTTTGTGAACAACTGTGTCAGAACATTTCTCAACACAACACTGCAAGGAATTTAGGGATTTCATCATCTACAGCAGGGCTATTCAACTAAAATTACTCCAGGGGGCCACAGTTAGTCAAAGCCAACAGCTTGGGGGTCAGACATCCCGAGGATGGGGATCATTCTTTAATGGATATTAGAACACGAGCTCATAACACGTCAGAAAACCAGTGTCAGTAAACACAGTTCATCACTACATCTACAAGTACAATTTAAAACTCTACCATGCAAAACCAAAGCCTTATATCAACAACAACCAGCGTGGCTTCGCAGTAAAAGAGTGAAGGTACTGCACTGGCCTGTCTGCAGTCCAGACCTGTCACCCATTGAAAATGTGTGGTGCTTTATGAAGAGCAAAATGCAACAACAGAGATCCCAGACTGACTTAGAATAGCATAGCATAGCAATAGCATAGAATTAGACTTTATTGTCCCGTCGAGGGGAAATTCAGGTGTCACAGCAGCATCAGTACAGCAGTTCACACATTAGTTACTTTACAAACTATAGATAGTGCACACAAAACAAAATTAACACTGACTGGCAATGATACAACTACTACTAATAAAAATATAATATAAAGAATTGTGCAAGGATAGAAAAAGATGTTTTGTTTTAGAGACAGTAGATTATCAGAATCCGATTAGGATTCAGGAATTAGGAATCAGAAATTGCCTGTTTTCATTGCAAAACAAACTCAACAGACCAACAACTGTAAAGTGAAGTATCACAATGCAGACAAGAAACACTGAGGCGCAATTACAGCAGAGTAGTAGTGCAAATGATTGTTCAGTTGAATAATTACAATGAATAATCAGTACAAATGATTGTGCAGCAGCAGGTGTGTAAACACTTATTGCGATTTTTGGGGGTGGTGCTGTTTATAGAGTCTGACAGCTGCAGGGAGGAAGGATCTACGATAACGCTCTTTTGTACGACTTAAGTTGTTCATCAAGAATGGGAAAGAATTCCAGCTACAAAGCTTCAAGATTTAGTGTCCTTAGTTCACAAATAAAGGAAAAGTGATTTAACACAGTGGTAAACAGGCTCCTGCCCCATGTGTTTTTGGAACAGGTTGCAGGCATCAAATTTAAAATGAGTGAATATTTGCAAAAATCAGTAAAGTTTATCCATTTGAACAGATCTTGTCTTTGTAGTGAATTCAACTGAGTATAAGTTGAATAGGATTTAAAAATCGTTTTATTCTGTTTTTATTCATTTTTTAACACAATGTCCTAACTTCATTGGAATTGTGTTTGTAGAATATTTTATAACAATCTTACGGTGGTGGAGTGGACAATAGTTTTGCTCACGCCTGTTAGAAAGAAATGTCATGAACTATTCGATGGATTTTAGTGAAACTTTCATCAAATGTTTAATCAATCACGATGTGTGCCACAGCAAAGGGACCTTAGAAAACTCTGATATAATTCAGTAAATTTTACAGATATTGTTTTAAGAACTGGTGTGGTGCTAGCTGAGTCTTTCATCATCCTAATGATGGAGCAGACTGAACCTGTGGTGTCCTCACCCGTATGATGGAGTTCATCTCCGGAGGTGTGACCTGCTTGGCTCTCTCGATGGCACCCATGACTTGCTGTTGGTGCTGAAACAATCACATTTCACACAGCATGAATGCTTTAATGTCACTTCAACTACCAGGCATGAGAGGAAGAGGGGTACGCTCACACTACAGGTTTCACTGCTCAATTGCAGCTTTTTGCTTGGATCTCATTGTTTTACTCGATGGTTCGCGTAATGATTTCAATGCGACCTCCATCAGACCCCGGTGGGAACAGTGACCCCCAGAAGACGTGACATCAACACAACGTGCTTACAGAAGTAAATATGGATGCTAAACGTTAGCAAGTGTGGAAACACTCTGAAGTTGCGCAATCAAAGCCGACTAAATCATGATCTGCCATGCTTGTTTTATTCAGTGTTCACATCTGATTTTGCTGCTTCTAAGGCTGCAATTAACGATTATTTTAATAATTGATTAATCTGTCGCACGCATTTCCTCCTCACTACACGGTTCGCATCAAATCAGTCATTTAAAATAATTAAATGTTGCATGTACTTTTTATCATAACTTTGGATCTACTTGGCCTAACAACACAATTTAAAAACTGGTTTAAAGTTCGAAGTCTGCTTTTCACTAGAGGGTCTCAGAGTGGGCAGATCTTTACAGGTAGAGTTTTTTTTTCTTTCTAAACTTTATTTAGGTCAGCCAGCACTGACAACGCTCTGCAGTTGATGTAAACGCTCCGCGACACGGCGAGAGATGCATAAATCGCGCGACACAACAAACTGATTATGAAATTTGTTGCCAACGCTTTTAATAATCGATTTTTATCAATTCGTTGTTGCAGCCCTAGCTGCTTCCTTCTACTCTGGAGCAAAAATAAACGCACTTCTGAGAGTGAAGCGACATATAAAATGAGAAATATACAAACTGACAAAATCATGTGTTGGTGCAGATTTTCAGTCATCCAGGACACAACAATTTAAAACTAAGACGAAGCAGTAGGACTTGTGTTTTTGTTGGTATCAGCAATATGAATATCTGGACTGATCCATAAAACCCTACCTCAGTGATGATGGTGACATGGTCACATTATGGGAAAAAAAACATCTGATCTGACTCACTTTTGCCAGTAGTGTGAACGTAATCCAAGTTCACATTTGAGTAAAGTAAAAACAACCTGAGACACTTAGGCTACGTTCACACTGCAGGCAAATACGGCCCAAATCTGATTTTTTTTGACTCATTTGACTCATATCCGATTTTTTATGACAGTCTGAACGAGACAAATCCGATTTTTTTCAAATCTGACCCAGGCCGTTTCAGTATGTGGTTTTAAATCAGATATATATCTGATGTTTT